TTTTCAGTTCATATTGAAGATGTCATCAGATTCGGATAGCTCATTTGAAGAGCAGAAGAAAACAAAAAAGAAAACTGATTCGGATAGCTCATCTGAAGAGCAGAAGAAAACAAAAAAGAAAACAACAACGCAAAAAGACGGACAGTCGTCGAAAAAACGAAAAACCGATAAAGATGAGGTGAATTTCGTTGCTTTTTTAAAACCATTTTTCATACTTCAAAATAAGTTTTGAATAGAAATTGGAACGACAAATCTGGAGAGTTTTCTGAATTCCATTGAAAAACTTTGCATTGCGATAAAAACCTTCATATGCATTGCGACAGTGTAATGCAACTTATTCATCATATCGAGATGAGATTATAAATTGCTTTGAGTTCGATGTCAATTGCAAAATTGTTTTCAGCAAGAAAGTTCCTCGGACGAAGGTGTTATCGATAAAACACCGATAAAGAAAACCAAACAGAACGCATCGAAACATATGAAAAATTCAGACGGCGATGAGGTTCAGATTTCCTTGAATGATGTTCATAAATTTACCACAGTTGGATCCACGATTATTAATAAATATCATCACATTTGACGGTTTAAATACGACGTAATGATAGGCGTAAATGATTTTGAAGATTGATTGAAATAAGAATTGAGCTGTGCTCTCTGTTCAGATCGTGATGATATATAAAGATCCCAGCTACTTTAAACGTGTTCTTTGCTGGATTTTAGTTAAAGTTTTAGATGCTGGAGCTTGGTAAAATGCGTTTCGTAACAGTGCGTTCATTCAAGGGAAAGGCATTGATTGATATACGAGAATATTATCAAGACGTTCGTTTGTCAAAATATCTCATTTTGTTACCGTTTTGAAAATTCTTTACGAACTAATTCTATTACTGATTGCATTTTCANTTTTTATGGCGCATTCCATGTTCGCTTATCAGCCGTCATAATAATATGAGCCGAGAAGCTTCACTGTGTTTTTTTTCTTCAATGAATTGAAGTAGAAGAATAGACGGAAATTTTATTCTTTCATTAACTTTTCAAAGTAAATATTTCAGAAGAGTGGAGAGATTAAACCGGGTCGTAAAGGTATCAGCCTCTCTCGTGAACAGTATCAAAATTTCAAAGAACTTACCTCAGAAATTGATGAACGTCTCCGAGAAGTTTAATAATGATTTTCAACGCTCTCATTTTGCTTATCTCATTTTTGATCGTTGTATTTTTTACTCGTTATTTTTGAGAAATTTTACATTTTGATGAGCTCTGAATATGAGTTGCAAGTTTTTGAAGTTATCGTTTTTAATTGTTTTAATTGTTTGTATTGATCTCTTTTACATCATCTCTGTATTCGTTGTGTCTCATATGAGGTCATGCATATATGTTGTTTGCTAAGCATTTTACCATTCGTATGTGCTTCAATCCTAAGATATTATAATTATTTTTCATTATAAGTGTCACTGTTGTTGAATTTTGAGTTTTCAATCTTGTTGAAAAAAGAGAAATTGGTCACTGAAAGGAGTCAACACACAACATGATTCGTTGCATATGATGCTTATCCTTTTTGATCAGTCATCGTGATTCATTATGAGTGTATGCACGCTTCATTAAGAATTTTCCGTCAGAAACATTTATACTTTTCTGTATTTTTAAAATAGAATATCACGAATATGATGGTGGGTGAGAACTACCGCTTCGCTGGGCAAGCATGAAAGTACAGATAATTGGAACTGGTACTTCCGATAGTCTTATAATGCTGCACTACTAATCAATACTGAGATCAAGTTGTTGGATGAATGTGACTATAAATATTCGAGGATATGCGCATTTTTAATGTGAGAAATTATAGATGCAAAGCCGTTTTCACATGTTAAGACATAGCAATGCGGAGGATTGATGTGATTATATCGAGGAACGCAAAGTAGTAATTAATAAATACCAATGATGTTGATATTGATAATAGTAGTAGTGAGGTAAATGGAATGAAATAAAAGTGACGATTTGGACGGAATGAAATAGAATAAAATGGAGTAGGGTTAAGGAGTGTAAATATTTCGGTGTAAAGACACCAGTTTCAGCACCTTCCACAATAGAGCACAAATGCTTAATGATTTAGAACTTTGAAGAGTCCGACACTATAACAAAATCATTGCGTTTCATGAAATATCTTCAGAAATTCAGCTAAATCTTCGAAATGAAGTACTTTCCGTCAGTAGTGTAAATGCAGAAGAATTGTTAAATCTGAGGTTGTATCGGAGCCATTGTAGTGTTGGGTAAAGGTTGGGCTAAATGTGGTTTGAAGAGATACTGCTGACGTTATAGTGACCTAGTACAGATCAACGCAGAAATCAACTGCGTATTGTTCCGCGTAATATGAAACACTGGGCATCATGGCATCGAGCTGAAATTTACACTTGCTGTGATACTGCATAAATATCGAGTCGACATTCTCAGAAGAATATCAGTCGGCGTATAGCCAGTGAGAGTATTAGCGAATTGTAATTATATCACGCAGTGACTCAATTTAGCAGTTTCTCATCCTCTAGCAATTGTTTCTAGTAACATTGGGATGAAGTATGGAAGTCCAGGAGCAAAACGGGACAAGATATTCTTTTCATGGCAGTTTTAATTAGGGGTGATTTCATGGCAGTTTTAATTAGAGAACACATCTTGCAGATACCTGGAAGAATCGTCGATGAACTGAGAACGTTAAAATGTGAAGAACCAACGTTTCCGAAGCTTTCAAGGAATGTTTAGCCATGCCCACAGTTAAGGCAAGCAACAGAAGTAGTACGTCCGGGGTTAAATGTCTACAATAACTAGCCACGCCCACACTTAATGCATCTAACGGGATCAGTACATCCGAAGCTAAATGACTACGGTAACTGGCCACGCCCACAGTCAATGCATCCAACGGGATTAGCACCTCCGTAGTCAAATGACTACGGTAGCTAGCCACGCCTACAGTTAATGTAACCAACGGAATCAGTGCCTCTGCGGTTAAATGACTGCATGAAACCGTCCACAACTAGGATAACCTTGTAATAACAGACAATCAACGTAATTCCCATCAATCCCAAATCTAATCAATTCATAACTATGATAATAGCCTCCTTCCAAACACGACTGAAACTATTATATTATTTGTTTGAGTAATCTCTCATTTCCTCGCAATTTGCAAATCAGCAATTCACCACTTCAGTTTCCATCGTTCTTGTTTCCATCTTTTTATATTCACGAATTACCTCACTCAGTTTTTGTTTGATGGAAGATGAACATGTAAATTCAGAAGCGCTGTCCAG